AGTGGGAGCGCTTTTCACTGATTTCCACTTTTCTGAATAATAATGAAGTTTTACATTATTTGATTCTCACCTCATGATGTTGAGAGGGAGCGATTTGGGGAAATTCTGCTTCAACAGTCTAAAACTTCTAAACAAAGCAGCCAAGTATTGCAATATGTTTGCATGGCAATATCAACAGACGGACAATAAGTATAGATCTCTATTTTACACACTTTGTGGTAACATTTGAGTTTTTTCTGATGAGGTCAGCAGGACTGTTGGGTAGTTCATGGAGACATCAGAAAAATGATCTGATATGTATCCTAATAGATATAACAGATGTTAATAAACTCAATAACTTTCAGTTGAAAAAAGGTTATAAATCTCAGAAGATTTCAATGTTCAGCCTATTGTCATTGTTTTAAATTGCAATAGTATTGTAATGTGACTTATGGCGCATTTCCACCATGGCGCGGAGCGCGGTTTAAGCGTGCCGTGTCGTGCCGTGCCCGTTTTTGGTTGCGCTACCACTAGGCCTAGTTACGGCCCGGCCCGGCCCGGGGCCACTTTTTCACCTCTTTTCTGGCCCGACAAAATTGTGGTTCTATCGGGGCCAACAAACAGGGCTGAGTCGGGCTGAGTATGCTAAACTAGAGAGAGAATCGCTGGCAAGGGGGCTACAACTACAACAAGATGGACATATTTGACCGTGATTTAATTGTAATACACGTTTCAAAATGATGCCGAAGTAACAACATACTGATACCGGTTAGTAAAAACCATGAATTAATGCTTTGTCAAGTCTGCAGACAGACGGCAGGCGAAAAACCTTTTAAAATGCGTGTTTTCTAGATGGAGATTGGCTAAGCTAACGCAGTATATGCTCCGACCGTCCACACTCACAACAACGGCCTATACAGACATAAATAAAGCAGCGACTGTACTCGCCATGACACAGGCAGTCTGTGGTGTGTACTTGTTTAACTTTTGTCGAGTTTCTGAACATATATAAGGAGCTGTGAGCTCTGAGTGCTAACAGCTAACGGCTGTGTTGTTTGTCTGGGGTTCTCATTGAAGATGACGTCACGGCTCCGCCTACACTGCGTTACTATAGATACTACCCCAGTTCCTAAACTGTAATGGAAGCGCAGCATGAAGTGAGCCGGCCCTGTTAAGGCCCAACGCGGCCAAGCAGTACCGAGCGTGGCCGAGGCCGACCGTGGGGTGGAAATGCGCCATTAGTGTGATACTATTATATTTTGGAGCCATTGGTGATTCCCTCCCCATTTCACAATGGATGCTTCTATTGGCCAGCACTCGGACACATTCAACGTGGCATCTAAGGGCCGGGACATTTATTAGCGGTTGACCAATCACAACAGAGCCAGCCAGCTAACCAATCAGAGCAGACTGGGCTCTGGTTTCAGACAGAGGGTGAAAAGAGGTGCTGCAGCATGAGGAAAATAAAGAGCTTTTTGAATATTAAAGCATGGAGACATGTCACAGTAGAGATACACAAATACAGATGTGAACCTGAAAATGAGCATAGCATGTCCTCTTTAAGTCAAACAATGATAGGATGAAGAATTATAAACCCACTTTATTCCTGCAGCACCACACAGCAGACAGACAGTGTTAGCAGCTATCTGGTGAACACAGTTGAGCCTGAAGCTATAGCTAAAGGGATATTTCCCTCAGGAGTTGGGGCTCATAACTTTAATGAGTGAATATTGGACTTGCAGAAACAGTATCACAAGTGAATGACAATGTTGCTCCGTGTCTGCTGGATGTGTTAATAGTCACCTTTTTGCTATTGCATTCATCATATCAACTTAAGGTGGAAATGTGTCATTGTTGTGTTAAAACGCATTATGTGGCCACATTTTAAAAATGACTAAGTTAGTTAGAATTAGCTGCTTTTTCATTTATTCCGCTTTTCTTAATCCGACACATTACCCGAAACAGCTAAACTGAATCTTTGAGCGGTTAACAGTTACAAGGACACACTATACTAGAAAATACATTTATAAATAACTTTCCTATTCCTATTTTTCTGGCTATTATTATTTCACGAGTGCACAGAATGATTGGGTGTGTGATCTATCCATCCATCCATCCATCCATCTTCTCCCGCTTATCCGTGGTCGGGTCGCGGAGGTAGCAGTTCCAGCAGAGAGCCCCAAACGTTCCTTTCCCTGGCCACGTCAACCAGCTCTGACCGGGGGATCCCAAGGCGCTCCCAGGCCAGCGAAGAGATATAATCCCTCCACCTGGTCCTAGGTCTACCCCTCTGTCTCTTCCCAGCTGGACGTGCCTGGAACACCTCCCTAGGGAGGCGCCCAGGTGGCATCCTTACTAGGTTCCCGAACCACCTCAACTGGCTTCTTTCGACGCGAAGGAGGAGCGGTTCAACTCCGAGTCCCTCCCGGGTGACTGAGCTTCTCACCTTATCCCTAAGGGAGACGCCAGCAACCCTGCGGAGAAAACCCATCTCGGCCGCTTGTATCCGCGATCTCGTTCTTTCGGTCATGACACATCCTTCATGACCATAGGTGAGGGTAGGAACGAAAATGGCCCGGTAGACAGAGAGCTTTGCCTTCTCTCTGGTGTGTGATCTATAAGGGTTTAAAATGACCTTTTTCAAAATGTTATCTCGACTTCAGACTGTTTTTCAGACATATTTAAATGTTCTGTTTGTTTCGCTGCTCTGACCTCTCGCAATGGGAATGAGTCCTTGACATTTTAAAGAAAAACGTCATATAATTGAAATAATAATCTATTATGAATATCTTCAAAACACTAATGTATTTGCAGCCCCTCTTAAACAGGTCATCCTGTTTGTTTTCCCACTGGGCCTCTCCATATATAATGACAGTGGTTATGTTGCGAAGAAAGACGTATGAGGCAGCTAATGATCAGCCACACTTTCATGTGAATGCTCCCTCCACTTCTCCTGATTATATTATGACTCATCTTTCTTTGTGGCTCTGAACACCAGGTGTGAATAGACACTTTTGCCGAGTGGAAAGGAAATGTGTTTTAGGTTTCCTGCCTTTAGGTCACATACAGGGCGCCCAGACAGGAGCTGAATGTATTTTTCTAAAAAGAGAAATATGTACAGCAGTGAACAACCTGCTCCAAAGCTTAAGAACTTTTGGCGAATACAGTTTTGAAAAGATTTGCAGAGCCAGGGTGCCCTCTTTGAAGGAGAGGCAAATCTGAGGAGCTGTTATAATGCAGCGAGAAAACACTATGAATAAATAGAGAAGCAGAAGAGGCTCATGAGTGACGGACACCACTGAACAAATGGTACTGTGTTTTCATGTGATATCTATTTCAATCAGGAGATAATTCATTTTTTGGTCGAAAGAACATTTATTTACACGTGATAGAAATGTTATTGGTCTTTGACGATTAGACCCCAATCCATATATCGTATATATATTTGGGGGGAAGTGCAGCCGTGAGTAGGAACCCCTCCCCAGGGGTCAAGAGACTGTTAGGGATGCTGAAGATCTGGATTTGATGAGATTGTTCACGATTATGATGACTGGAGGTAGATGGGGTGGAGGCGCCTGAAATCACAGCTGACTGCAGGAGAGAGGAGAACAGATACAAAGTTTGACTGCAGCGCGATGATTGGCTGCTGGAGATGTGGTAAATGTAATTGGTTAAAAGTGGACGTATGTTATGTCTTTTCTAAAACTGGAGAAAATTAAATATTCTTTAAGAGGCGAAACTTCTAGGTTTTACACTAAGTGGCAACCCTTCTTAACCTTCTTCAAATCTCTCATTTTTTTCACTGATTAATGGACACCCCCCCCCCCCCCCCCCCCCCCTTTCCCTCTTTATTATATATTTAGTTTTTGTCTTTGTACTGTTTTGTTATTTATTTATTTTTATTTTGTCCTGTTATGGCGCGTTTCCACTACAGCGCGGAGCACGGTTTAAGAGGGCTGTGACGTCAGCGGCCCGTCTTTGGTTGCGTTTCCACTTGGCCTAGTACCGGCCGGCGGGTCCTAATTCACAGTTTTTCTGGCCTCATAAAATCGTGGGTCTAGGGCCAGAGACAACGAGGCTGAGTATGCTAAACTAGAGAGAGAATCGCTGGCAAGGGGGCTACAACTACAACAAGATGGACATATTTGACCGTGATTTAATTGTAATACACGTTTCAAAATGATGCCGAAGTAACAACATACTGATACCGGTTAGTAAAAACCATGAATTAATGCTTTGTCAAGTCTGCAGACAGACGGCAGGCGAAAAACCTTTTAAAATGCGTGTTTTCTAAATGGAGATTGGCTAAGCTAACGCAGTATATGCTCCGACCGTCCACACTCACAACAACGGCCTATACAGACATAAATAAACCAGCGACTGTATTCGCCATGACACAGGCAGTCTGTGGTGTGTACTTGTTTAACTTTTGTCTAGTTTCTGAACATATATGAGGAGCTGTGAGCTCTGAGTGCTAACAGCTAACGGCTGTGTTGTTTTTCTGGGGTTCTCATTGAAGATGACGTCACGGCTCCGCCTACACTGCGTTACTATAGATACTACCCCAGTTCCTAAACTGTAATGGAAATGCGCCATAAAGTGAGCCAGTCCTAACGAGGCCTAGCCATACCGAGCGAGGCCGAGCGAGGCCGTGTAGTGGAAATGCGCCACAGTCTGTACAACACTCTCTTACATTTGGGCTACATGGTCTGTTTTGGTTATAATTGTGGTTTAAATATTGTACGCCTTCAAGTGAAGGTCAGCTATGTATGGCTTGTCAATTGATGTACAATAGTAGAGACTAAGCTGAACACTAGTAGCTTTGAACTGTTGAACATTTGTAACTGTGGTTCCTGTCAATGTACCAAATGTCTTTTCTATGTGTCTTCAATAAAAATATATATGAAAAAACGCCCCATAATGAGCTCTATATGCAGCTGAGGAGTCATCATGCCTGAACTGCAGAACTGAAGTGCATTCCTTTCACCATCTTACGTATCCTTGTCTTTGTCCTTGTGCAGGTGAGAGTGCGATGAGGAGAGGTTTCAGAGTGTGAGGCCATGGGCTGCACCTCGGCCAAGCAGGTGTCGGCCGTGCCCAACGATGAGGAGGGACGCGGCAAGGCCTACAGCAACGGCGACCTCTTCAGTGGTCAGTACACACACTCACACACACACAGATGTCAATAAAAGCTTCATAGCTCTATTTCACTCAGTTAATTGCTCGGCGCTGAACAATTGCCCCGTCTGCCCTCACAATATATTCGCTTCATTATGGCTCATTGTCCTCTGGCAGACTGTTAAATTCTCCATTTCAGACAATAACTGTCAACTCTGCAGTTTTCATTGGAGTCGTCCATGTTGACAGTTCATGTTAGAGACAGGAAGTGTGAGAGACTGCGGTGTGAGACGTGTACTCACTCAGGTGGTGTGTATCTTTGACGTTTTTAATATGTTTGACTTTGGAAGTGAAAAGGAATGGAAAGAGTTTCCATTAGTGATGATTAAACAAAGTCACAAACCAAGACTATGAGGAGCCTCTGGATTATTCACTGGATTAGATGGACAGGCAGTTAATCAATAATCATTTTAATAATTGATTAACTGTAAACATTTCTGAAGCAAAAATGCCAAACACACTCTGCTTCCTCCTTCATTACTGCAGGGCTTTCAGAATCAGAATACCTTTGAGTCCCACAGAGGACGGCAAAGGTATAGAGGCAAAAAGAACATCATATTAAATATGAGGCATGCACAACATCAGTAGAAGTGTTTTGAAAGATATATAAGTGTAGCATGTAGGAAATAGTGTGATAGCAGCCAGATAACTCTAGTCAAAATATATACTGCATAAAGTTATTATTATGTGCTTTTCTCAGTTTTACATCATTTCAATCTGAATATGTATTTAAATAGTCTTTTGCTCTTACGAAATGTTCTAATTTCTTGAAAACTGCAATGGTTATTTAAAGTGGTGAATCTGATTCTCCAACTATTGTAGGCTATAGGGCTGCAACTAACCATTATTTAAGATTTAGAGATTAATTCATTCAGTTTTGTTTTAAAATGGCAGAAAGTAGGAATAAATGTTCCTCCTAGTTGGTGATTCCTTTTTAATATATTGTTTTGGCAGTCCAAAATCTAAAAGATGTTCAGGTTAAAATAATTTAAATCAGAGAAAAGTAGGAAAAAAAACAAAATTTGAGAGGCGGGAAACAGAAATGTGGGCAATTTTTGCAAGAAAAAATGTGTATTTTTCTATTCCTGATAAATGACTTATTCATCAATTAACTAAAACAGTTGGCCATTATTTCTCCTGTAATCGTTGCAGATCCATGAGGGTAGGGATGATGGTACGACCCCTGTGTCAAAGTGTCAGTGAGCAAGAAACCAAATCCCCCCCATTGCTCCCTGTGTGGATCAAAAACTAAAATGAGCTTTGGACAAAAGCGCCTGCCAGACATTATGTCATTTTTTAAAAGAATCGATTCATTGAAACAATAATCGTCAGAGTAATCTGTAATGAATGTAATTGTCAGCTCTTTCTAATAACTCACAGGCTGTTGTGCAATCAGGGAGAGAATTGAAAGTGAAAGCCAGAGAGGGGAGAGATGATGGGTGGAGCGGGGATTAACAGCGATTTAAGAATTAGGAGCAACACTCTGGGCGGATGGACGTGGCAGATGATGATCCACAGGAGGTCTCTCTCCCTCCTCCTCTCTCTCTCCCCCCTCCTCTCTCTCTCCCCCCCTCTGACCCCTCTCCCTCCCTCTCCTCCTGCTTCTCAACCTCTCCCTGCGACCTCTCATTGACTCACTTTGCCCTTGTCCCTTCTATTCAATTCTATTCAAATTCAAATAGCTTTATTGGCATGACCATAATGACACACAGGATCGATGGATAGATAGATGGATAGATAGATGGATAGATGGATAGATAGATAGATAGATAGATAGATAGATGGATAGGTAGATGGATAGATGGATAGATGGATAGATAGATAGATAGATGGATAGATATGGATGATAGATGGATAGATAGATCTGGATCGATAGATAGATAGCTGCTAGATCGCTATCGCTCAGCTCGACTGGATCGCTCGTCGTCGATCTCTGCTCGACTAGCTCGCTCGCTCGCTCGCTCGATCGCTGGCTCGCTCGCTGGCTGGCTCGCTCTGGCTCGCTCGCTCGCTGGCTCGCTCGCTCGCTGGCTGGCTCGCTCGCTCGCTGGCTCGCTCTCTGGCTCTCGCTCGGCTCGCTCGCTGGCTCGCTGGCTCGCTCGCTCTCTGGCTGGCTGGCTCGCTGGCTGGCTCGCTCGCTCGCTGGCTCGCTCGCTGGCTCGCTCGCTCGCTGGCTCGCTCGCTCGCTGGCTGGCTCGCTCTGATGGCTCGCTCGCTCGCTGCTCGCCGCTGGCTCGCTCGCTGGCGCTCGCTGGCTCTCTCCTGGCTCGCTGGCTCGCTGGCTCCTGGCTGGCTGGCTCCTGGTGGCTCGCTCGCTCGCTGGCTCGCTCGCTGGCTCGCTCGCTGGCCCTCGCTGGCTCGCTGGCTGGCTCGCTCGCTCGCTGGCTCGCTCGCTCGCTGGCTCGCTCGCTGGCTCGCTGGCTCGCTGGCTGGCTCGCTCGCTCGCTGGCCGCTCGCTGGCTCGCTCGCTGGCTCGCTGGCTCGCTGCTGGCTCGCTCGCTGCTCGCTCGCTCGCCGCTGGCTCGCTCGCTGGCTCGCTCCTCGCTGGCTCGCTCGCTGCTCGCTCGCTGGCTCGCTGGCTGGCTCGCTCGCTGGCTCGCTCGCTCGCTCGCTCGCTCGTCGCTCGCTCGCTGGCTCGCTGGCTCGCTGGCTCGCTCGCTCATAGATGGATAGATAGATAGATGGATAGATAGAGCTTTGTACAATTATGACATCTATACATAACATTTTGAACAAAAATGAGAAAAACATGTTTTCTGTTCAGATAAAAAAAAAAATGGATCGTGAACAAGAAAATTATTTGAATAATACAATTTAATAGAAGCCATTAATAAGTAATACAAATAAAAAGACGTGAGATGAGAGAACTAATGTCTCTCTCTGACACGTTTCCCCTCATCCTCCTCCCCCTTTCTCTGCTCAAATGTCTTTTAAGGAGCAACAGAATAAGGAAGGGGCTGAGACGGAGAGAAGGGAGGAGGAGGGGAGCGTTTTTCCTTGAGAGAGGAAGGCAGTGACGTCCGTTGACGCTGCTGCGCTTCTCTTTTTTTCCCCCCTCTCTCTTCAACTTCTCTGCCTTGGTCAGATCGCCTCTTCCTCCCCCCTGCACAAGGCCTCGTTTCTTCCCTTCCTCTTTCTCTCTAGTCTCTCTATTTTGGGTCTCTGCACACTCCTCCCTCTCTTCCTGCCTTCATCCCCCCAGTGTTTCTTCTCCTCGGCTCTCTTCCTCCGGCACGACATTAGGTCAGAATCTTCTGTCCTTTAACCTCTCGTGTGTGTGTGTGTGTGTGTGTGTGTGTGTGTGTGTGTGTGTGTGTGGTGTGTGTGTGTGTGTGTGTGGTGTGTGTGTGTTGTGTGTGTGTGTGTGTTGTGTGTGGTGTGTGTGTGTGTGGTTGTGTGTGTGTGTGTGTGTGTGTGTGTGTGTGTTGTGTGGTGTGTGTGTGTGTGTGATGTGTGTGTGTGTGTTGTGTGTGTGATGTGTGTGCGATGTGTGTGTGTGTGTGTGTGTGTGTGTGTGTGTGTAGTGTGTGTGTGATGTGTGTGTGTGTGTGTGTCTTGATGTGGGTGTGTGTGTGTGTGTGTGGTGTGTGTGTGTGTGTGTGTGTGTGTGTGTGTGTGTGTGTGTGTGTGTGTGTGTGTGTGTGTGTGTGTGTGTGTGTGTGTGTGTGTGTGTGTGTGTGTGTGTGTGTGTGTGTTAACCCCCTTCATGACGCCCGCATTTTTTTTCATCTGATCTCAATCCCCTCTTATCTTTGTTTCCTCTTCACTTCCATCCTTCTATCTCTGCACTATTTCAGTCCTGGACTCGTACTATAATGGCCAGATGTTTGTTCAGTCATGGCCTACGCGTGTGTAATGGTGTAGTTTAACATAATCCACTTGAAGTCAGTTTACTTGACAAGAGGAAGAAATCCACTTTTTAATCCATATGTTTCAACGAAGGTACCATCCACAGAGTTTCTAAATGACATGAACCTATAGTCCGGACACTACACGGTGAAGAAACTCCACAGTTTCTCCAGCAGCTTCAGTGTTGTCATTTTTTCCCACTAAACTCGCTCGACCCCAGTTGACCTGCCTCCGTACATCCGGTGTACTTCTCATGATCGAGGTGGAAAAGATTGGTCCGTTCTGGTCAGTCAGTCAGTCCGCCTTCAGGCTCCTTCACACATACACCCCCCCCCCCTGCAGGCTGAGTGTGTGTGTGTCAGCGTGTGTTTGTATATCTGTGTTAGTCATACATGCCAATTGCCTATCAGTGTATTTAGTCAGACACTGAGCCCTCGTCTTACTCGCGCTGATCCGCCTCCAACTGATCTGTCTGCCAGTCAGTCTGTCCTTGTTTGTATTTGTGCATGCATCAGTGTGTGTGTGTGTGTGTGTGTGTGTGTGTCCCAGATATTCTGTCAGACTCAAGCCACTGACCCCCCCCCCCCCCCACTCCTCTCTCGCACAATAACCGGAAAAGGCTGAACTCCATTATACCAACACTGAAAGCCGACGAGGGAAAATAGCAACACTTTCCACAACATCATGTTATTGATGTCGGCAATAATCACAGTCGGAGCAGAGATGAGAGTGGAGATATCGTATGTGGGACAGTATGTGTGTGTGATTGCCAAAGCGCCCCCCTAACATGTTTACACAACATGGTGTTTTCTTTAAGAGTTTGTGTTGTTTTGAGACGGAGAGCAGCTCACTCTCTCCTATGTGAGAATGTGATGCTTCTGTCACTCTGAAATGTGTGTGTCAGATGCAGAGAAGATAGTATGAAGAGAAAGCACGTGTGTACTTTGGACTGCTGATTTTCCACTGGTTTCTGCCAAGACACCCTTTAGAAAGGATCAATCCACTCTCGGGAATAAGTGGTATCTCTCAAAGCTAATTGTTTTATAAGTGCCTCAAAGCTTTGATGGCACTTCAAACATACTGAACTTTCTGTATCAGATCACTAAATGAGCACCCAGTCAATA